TTTTATGTCTTATAGGGTTACTGAGTACAATATTGTATAACTGTAATAATTGGCTGTAATAATGTACAGCCAATTTTGTAAGAGATGCATCCTAGCTCAGAAAATTGTTATTGAATATGTCAATGCTGATGTAGTGAAATGCTTTTTCTAAGTATGTGGTTATTGAACAAATAATTTTTAAATGCAATTTACCACTTATATGAAGCCTAATGATTGAAGAGACATTTATTCTAAGTGTAGCATCTTACACTAAAAAGTGATTCATTCATAACCTTGATTTGCTTCTCTTAATTATATTCCTTTTGCACAAAGTACGCACCCTTTTCTTTTCCAGTTCTTACAACCGAAGTCTAACTTGTAGCTCTCATCCCTTTGATTTGCTGTTATCATGTTAACCTTTCTAATCCAATAGAAACTTCCACAGTATGAGGTCTTACTACAAGATTTAATTTTCACTCTCTGTAGTATAAGGGAAGGTAAAAATCCAGTTGCAATTTTTATCCTCAATCTCAAATTTATAAAAATTAAATTCCCACTGTAAAAATGTATAACACGAGCAGCTTTTCCTTTTTTTCTTTTTTTTTGGGGGGGGGTCTTTTTGAGACAGAGTCTCCTTGTAGCCCCAGCTGTCCTGGAACTCACTATACAGAACAGGTTGGCCATGAACTCACAATGATCTGCCTGCCTCTGCCTCTCAAGTGCTGGGATTAAAGGCGTGAGCCACCATGCCTGGCCCTAGCTTTTCTTTTTGTGTGTTTCACTGATTAGACTGGCAGGAATGGCTTGAATTCCTTCCATCTTGTCTAGTATATTTCTCTTATTCTTATTTTTTATGTGTATGAGTGTTTCACCAGCATGTATGTAAGCATCTGTGTTGTACAATACCCCTGGAGGACATAAGAGGGTGGCAGGTCCCTTAGAACTGGAGTTGCAGATGATTCTTAGCTGCCATGTGGATACAGGGATTTGATCCCTGGTCCTCTAAAAGAGAAGCCAGTGCCCTTAACTGCCGAGTCATCTCTCTAGCCCCTTGCCTTGTATATTTCTACACCCCAATTCTATATTCTATATTCATATATTGTTCTGAGACTGAAGAGTTGTTAAATGTAGAACTTGCTCAGATTCAAAACTCTATTCAGTCCTTATCTGGTAGCTTAGCAGCTACATGCTTAATAAATCCACACATTACAGTGAGCTAATTAAGGGTTTTCTCTGAGTTTTCTTTCATGTCTTCTTTGGCTCCTCTATAGCAAATAGATGCACATTTTCATTTGTCTTTAGATATATGTGTTATGTATGAGAATACCCAAATATTTTTTCAATTAAAATAATTATATAAGTAAAAAATAGGAATATCTTCTATGAATCATAATGCTGTCTGGTCAAAGGAATAATACTATCAATAATATTTTCATAGGTTGTTTTGCTTCTCAAACAGAATAAAAAATCTGCAATGCTTAGCTCTGCCACTTGGAAAATGAAAACAGTGCTGCAAATGCATGTAATGGGAAAGTTTCCCAGAAATCATGTACAATTTTGGATACTAATAGCCATCAATCTTGAGACTGCCATAGAGTGATTTCCTGAATGCCTTCACATATTACTTCTGAGAATTTCTCATTTAACTGCAGATAATTCCTGAGTTTACCACCTTTACATTATTGTTTCTGGATAGCTACAGATGAAGTAAATAAATATTTACTCCTTGACTTCTTTGTGACTTTGCATTAAAAAATCCATTTTAATCCTTAACCTCATTCCTTAAAGAAATGAGATGAGAGGATGAACTTATATAAGAATATGGTTTTCTAAAAATGAGCCTCTTTTCCTGCACAGTCATGCAGCTCAACAAATATTTGTAGAATGAGGCGCACAGTATGTTAAGAACTAAGATCACGAGGGACCACAGTCTAGCTTCACTGTTCTGCATGTGGATATGCAATTGCCTTAGAACTGTTCGTGTAAAAACAAAGGGGCCGAAGAGATGGTTAAGAACACTCGCTGCTTTGCAGATGACCTGGGTTAGAGTACCAGTTCCTATGTGGTGGCTAACAGTCATCCTGTAACTCCAGCTCCTGGGAGTTATACACTAAAATACGCTCATCCACTAAAAATAAAAATAATAAATAGCATATTTTATAAACGAAACAAAACAAAACAAAACAACAACAACAACAACAACAAAGCTGGTTCCCTGTGGACCATACCTGTAATCCCACCATCGAGGATCTAGGCGCTTACTGAGCCAGTCAGTCTGAATCAATGAATCCCAGGTTCAGTAAGAAACCACGTCTCAAAAAATAATGTTGAAAGCCATAGAGAAAGACCCTCAACATTCACTTCTGGATGTGTGTACACAGGCACAATCGCCCCTCTCTCAGATACATATAACATGCACAATCATTTTAATATTTATAGTAATTAATATGAGTTAAATTAATATGCTCCTTTAAAAGAAGAAAAGCATTACTTTTAAAATCAAAATAGTGGAAAATAACTGATTTAATATTCCTATATTTAATTAACTTGTGTTTTGATATAAATAATCTCAAGGTCAAATCAAATCTAAATTTAAACATTTAAAGATGTTGTCTCCACAGTTTTCTAGAATAAAGACTGGCATGGCTATTCTGACTTATGTCTACATTTTGTGTAATTATTTAAGAGCAAAATATTTGTGACTATATGTAAATTTTAATACATTCATTGTAGTAATTAAGAAACCTACAAAAATATGTATATTGTCAAGAGAACAGAAAAATATTTAAACGTGTGATTTTTTTGTTTGTTTGTTTTGGTTGGTTTGGGGTTTGTTTTGTTTTTTTGTTTTTGACAGGGTCTCCCCATAGCCCCAGCCGTCCTGGAACTCACTATGAAGACCAAGCTGTTTTCAATCTCAATCTTACAGAGGTCCACGTGCCTCTGCCTCCAAAGTGCTGGGATTAAAGGTCTGTGCCACCACACCCAGCCAAAAGTATATTTTTATTACTAATAATAAAACTTCACAGGAAAGGGAGCAAGAAAGAGTTTTGTCCTTCATTGCTTTGTTCTTTGTAGATTTTAAGAAGATGTTTGAGAAGTTTCAATGTTAGAACATATTTTATTTTTATAGTTTATTATATTTATTGTTTTAATATATATGGATATGTGTTACATAGAGACACCTATGAACACTCTTGTTCTGAGGCGCACAAAATTTATATGGTAACTAAAACCATATTTTATAGGAACTAAAAAATTATGGGGTACTTCACCCAGCCTGAAGCTGCCCTGTGACAGAGGCTTGGCAATCCCACCAACACACACACGCATATACACAGACACACAGACACACACACACAGCAAATACATCTGGCAGGCTTTTTAAATGTTAGTATTTTGACTCTGTTATAAATATATATATATATATTAAATAATTCATAAATTCTAAGATGCTACTAATTACCAAACAGAAATACCAAAACTAATGATAAGTTGTTAGGAACTGAATTTTTGGTATAATATGAGATGAAATATTTTTTCAATCATAGAAACAGTTAAAGGTAAAATGTTCATATCCTCATGATTGATATATTTTTCAGGAAAATGGGTATGTATTAAGCTAAAAGAGGGGAGTTTGTTTGCCTTCTGTTGATTTTTTCTATTTAGAATAAAAAAAATCACACTGTTACATAAAATGCTATTATAGCGCTTACAGTGTACGACTGAATGTGATCAAAGTTACTTAACTCTGATTTACAGAGCTGGGAGTACTGACCTCATTACTCAGTGTGGGGCTTTTCAAGACCTTCTTTGAATTCTTTTTAGCTCTTTGCACCTTTAGAAATCGTCACGGATATTCTCATTTTTTATTTCCCTTAGCTTCATTCAGACCAAGATAAAGGAGATGGATCGCTCAAATACATTTTATCTGGAGATGGAGCTGGTACTCTTTTCATTATTGATGAAAAAACAGGTGATATTCATGCCACAAGAAGAATTGATAGGGAGGAAAAAGCCTTTTACACTCTACGTGCACAAGCTATTAACAGAAGAACTCTGAGGCCAGTAGAACCAGAGTCTGAATTTGTGATCAAAATCCATGACATAAATGACAACGAGCCAACATTCCCAGAAGAAATTTACACAGCTAGTGTTCCTGAAATGTCCGTTGTAGGTAAGTGCAGTCATAAGATTTGTGAGTGCATTAAAAGTGTAAAAAGAATTTCAAGAAATTCTTGAAATATTGTGATTAATTAACTGAAACAATTTTTTATACCTTACCAAAGTTCATAGTTAACAAATATGAATAGAGAGGCAATGAATCAGAAGAGATCCATGCATTTTGCAGTTCTTTTCAATTTTAAGATTCTCACAAATCATGTAGGTCGTTCTCAAACATCAAGAATTTACCATTAACTTTCAGTAGAAAACAATGAATAGATATTTATCAAATGGTTCTTTTATGACACAAATGTAAATCTCAAAGCCAATTATATTGTGATATGGTTGCTCCTTGCTGTTCACTAGGGATAAAATCCTGACCCCCCTCACAGATACTGAAATCTTTGAATGTTCAATTTCCTCATCTTAAGTGGCATAGTATTTGCATATATCTTATGGGAATCCCCTCACAGATTTAAAATAATATTTAGATTGCTTATGATACCTAATGAAATGGAAAATTTATCTCAATTTTTGTTATAACATACTGCTTATGAAAACACCTTGGGGAAAAAAGTGTCTGCACATATTCAGTAGAAACATATTCTACAAAAGCCTTTTCAAACTTAGGGTAGTTGAATTCTTGACGGCAGAAACTGCAACTAGAGAAGACCAACGGTGCTGTAAGAATACCAGAAATCAATACAAATTTTTACTCAGGTTTGCTAGTCACAATTTATCAAAAAAGGTTGTCTAGGTTATTTTCAGATTTCAAATGAATGATTTGATTAACTCCTGTCCTCCTAAATATTGAGATACCCTGGTATAATCTTTTTATATGAAAGTCTGCTGTCTTAAGTCTCATATTAAATTAAACCCATAGAAACCTCATAATCACGTGTACACACCTACAATGATGCATTGTAGAATCTATTAAAATATAAAGAATAGAAGTATAATATT